AGCAAAATTTTGTAAAAAAACCAGAAATTTTTTGGGAAAAAATAGACAAAGTGGTAGGAGGTTGGAAAAATCTAGGGAAGAGGTAACAGGGGGGTCGTACTTGAAGATGGAATTAGGGGGGTCGTATTTTTCAGGAAATGATCACAACGCAATGGCGTGCCCTGCCTCGGAGGCCGCGCATTCCCACAAAACATGAAAATAAAAACGGCCTAAGCGTCCCACTCGTTAGTTTAAAGTATTTCTATGGCTTTGGAGCCGAATTCGCGCCGGATCGCAGAAATTTACACGCGATTTAATTTGCGTTTCCTTAGTTTTTTCAATTTTGTTTTATTTACATCTACATTCGTTGTTCTTCATTTCTAGCCTTTGTCATCTTCATCACCTTCTATTCGGACTTTGAAGCATGAGCAACACCTCAAATGTTATCCGCATCAGGAAATTGCGTTTTACTTGTATTCCAAAGCGCAATTACAGGACTTGGCAAAAAGCCAAGAGAGCTGCGCGCGACACGCGCCGCGCGGACGGCTGTTAGCATGGCCCTGTGCTCTAACCCCGTGCAGTTTCGGGCGGGGAAAATAGAAGAAAATAGAAGAAAGTCCTTACACTTGACTGGTCCCAAAGCCCAAATGAGAGAGGGCCTCCATCCCTTGAGTTTTGAAGTTCGGTCAAAATTTTTCTCATGAGTTGACCAGTACTCCAAGGGAGCACATGTGGGTACTGTCTACAACTTCTCTCCCGCTTCCGCCGTACGGGCTGGATGAACAGCGCTTGAGGTGAATCACTTCCGGAAGCGCCAGCGGCTAGATCCCCCAGAAAGGGCAGAACCGATCGCGCAATCCTATCAATCCAGTAGGGCGGTGAGACTGTGTATGTGGTGGGGTTTCTTTCTCCCTTCCCAAACGGAATTTCTTCCTTCCAACGCTGTGGTAACCAGGGAACCCTATTGTAATCAACTGCAAAGGGGGGTTGAAAATCGCTAACATTTGGTCCCAAAACCGAGCAATGTTTGCCTACTCCACCACAGCTCAGGGTCACACATTTGGAAAACGACACTGCTCGAGATCCCGAAGCTTAGCTGGGGAATTCCACCACAGTCTTCGTGTAGCCCTGACTTAGCTCTTTCCGATCGCCATCTAAACTAATCCCACAGCGGCCATCTTCTGGGTAAAAAAATACGATTTTTGATAGTACCTCAAAATGACCCAGCTGCCTTTCTGGGCACAGAACCAAGAAGCTTCTGGAAGCAGGGCAACCACTCATTGCGTGGTGGTTGGCAACATGTTACCACTGAAGGTGGGCGGAGCCAAAAAGGCCCTTGGAACAGATTGCGTGGCATGCACGGCAAATTCCACGGCAGTCACGGCACTGTGTAAACTGGCGCCGTGTAGCCAAGAAAACCACGTTCTAGCGTGTCAAATCGATAAGCTAGTGAATAAGACCTGATGAGCGAGTGAATGGACTGGCTCGCCAGAGTCTATATCTTGGATTTTTACTGTAGGGCTTCAAACTTTTAGTTCTACAGATATGGGTATGTGGCACTTGCTGTCTCTGCCTAAAAATTTTGATCTGTACACAGTTCGGGAAGCCTATTGGTTGCGTAATTGTCTAGAAATTCGGTTTTCCTCTGGAAGACAGCTGAAAAGCCTGGGTCTGGTTTGCTATGAGTAGGTTGTGTAAGAGCAAACCTGAGCCAACACTCTAGCTTGAAGCTTCTTCATTTGCCACAAGGATTCGACATAGCTGTATTGCTCTTGAAGGCATCGCCCGCCTTCATTTGATGTTCCTACGTCTTCCTTGGATATCGTAGCTTCGTCGGCAAGGGCATAGGACGTTATGATTTCGCACCTCAAAAATACGACAGCACAGGTGGGCGGGGCCCCATCCGCTCAGGAAGAGGATGCCGCTCTGCCCCCTGGGTGCCATAATTGCTTTGAACTAGCCTTCAAAACTGATCCCTCTTCCAAGAATAACGGGTAATGGAGCTCATATATTACGTGAGTCAGTAATGAAGAAAAAGGCAGAAAAATCGTGGAAAATTCCTATATAGAACCTCATGCTGGCCAGGTGGGCGGGGCGCCGACTCTTCACTAACAAACGGTGCTATCCTCTCGCTTTTTTCAGATGCAAAGCTAGTACATACTGCATCTTCATAAGGAGGGTATATGTTCATGATATCCAAGAAAGGGCGCAGGAACACCTAAATGAACGTGAGCACTGCATTCAGAACAAAATGGTCATACATTATGCGTCAGTTGTTCCCGAAGGAAACATCGTGTGCGCATCCCTCCGTTGCATTTCATGTACAGGGATGCACACACGACGCTTGGTAAACTCTGTTCCACAAACCGCTTACTAGACGCTGATCAGCGATGTTAGAATGAGCTAAAAAGTGACTGTTGTTGTTAGTGACGACACAATACAGCGAGGTGTTAGTTGCAATACAACGCTGCTCCTGTATGAGCTACAATTTCACCAAAGAAGTGATCGAAGAGCACGAGAAAAAGTGCCCTGTGAAGTGCGTAGTACCTCTTCGCATTCATTGCAGTAAATAACTGATTATGTGTTCCTTAGACTTTCACCTTCACTACGAGAGTAGTACCAGCGTTGGATTCTTGGCCGGAAGAACAGTTGGGTCAAGTTAACACGATAATCGAACTAGTGAGTAGGCGTTCTCCTACCGGTGTATCCTGAACGATATCCTCATTGTAAGCACTCAACCACTTAAACCCATCTTTAGCTTCTTTGGTGCCGTTGTAGCCTGACCTAGCAATTATTGGGTGTTAGGATCGCCCGTGTTAGTATTGTAATTCACAATGTTGTAAGCTATCTGGAGGAGCCTATTGTCGTCAGTGTATTCGGGATCCTCCATCATATCTAGCTCTAAGCCCTCTATCAGACCACTACGAAGGCCCTCTACTCTCATCACCTGGGCTTGTAGATCAGCTGCAGAGTCTTCCACTTCTGCGAGCTGTTGGAAGTGAAGTGGAACCTCTGCAGGATCCAAAATTCCTTTGCTGCCCTTCTGCAGCATCTCCATCCTCAGGTCTAAGACACGACGTAAGATGCTCCTTCCGCCACTCGTGCTTCACGGGCGTTTTGATCACGACGGTCGACTGACGAGCCAAAAACTTTCTTTTGACCCGTATCACTCTCGCGACCGTTCTGCTACCGTTTCTCTCAGCGAGGCGCAGCGTGTTGAAATGGAGCGTCGACAGCATTATATAGAGCTTGTACGTCTCCAGCGGGCTGAAATAAATTTATAATCGAGCGAAACGGGAATAACAACACATTGCTGACTTACTAGAAAACCTCCTTTCGACAGTAAAGGCGATCTAGGGCGTTCTTCGTCTCGCATATTGAGGTCCCCCCATGTGACCCTACCTTTCTCCAGATCTTCTTGGAACCGTGCTTTCAAGATGACATCGCGGAAAGCAATATACGCTTTACTTCCTAAGGGAAGCGGTTCTGGACGCGGAGAGGTCAAGGCACCGTGAAGACATGAGGTCAAGCAACCGGTGTGGACATTCTAAAGCTGATCGACTTTGAAGAAAGTGAATAAACTTCTGTCCAAGGTAGAGAGTATGAATAATTCTTCCCACTGACTGGACGTCCTAACATGCATCAGACAGCTGCTTGACCGATGCTTGATGTCTTTCCCCGAGGAGCCCCGTTCAATACACTTCCAAAGGTGGGTCTTGACCTTCTCAATCCATCCACCAATAGCGCCACACTCTGAGCGGCGAGACTCCTGAAAAGACGTCGAATCCTCGTGCTTATTTGAAATTCAGCAAATTAAAATCACTATCTCAACTCGTTTCCTAGCCATTTCACGAGATGCCATCCATCAAAATAATGCTCAATAGCGGTACCGTGTACACGCTCTACTTCATCCAGTACGCAACCAAAGCTCCGGCTTCTGTCTGTTGTGAGGGATGCTATTTCTAAGCCTTGCATGATCAACCAGTGCAGGGCTCTTCTCGGGCTATGGTTGTCTGTGTAAAGAGTAAATTACAATGAAAGTAGGTCAGTATCAACACTTTCAGAACGACTGACCGCACTGGGACCGATCTAACACTTCCGAGTGCATTATAAGTTTGGTGCACTGGTCCGCGACAACCACCTTTCCTATCTCTGCGCTATAGCCTCTGCTGTCATATGAGCCGTCTGCAGCAATATGTAAGCCAGACCCACGTTTCTATAAGTTGGAATATAGTTTTATTTACTACTTTATTCACTTATGTATAGAATTCACGGATTTACCCTGTACTCTTCCCTAATTATCGATAAGACAGTCTGCTGGTGCCACATGTATTCTCGTAGAGAAGTTACATATGGACTACTAAGAACCAAGCTGTGAATGTTAAGCATAGCTTTGATTGCCCTATCATAAACAGCAGAGGACAGCAAGCGGTGGCAGCCGGCTACACCAATTGTTTAAGCGAGCAAACGACAGCATTGGTTACATCCACCAGGAGACTAATGTTTTGGTTGAATTCTAAAGCAACCCACTAGCTCTAAATTCGAAGAAATGATTCTCGAAAAGAGAAAACATAGTGTAGTCCGCTGCGGACGATTGGCGTGCTGGGCAGAATGAGTGGGCCACAGTGAAAAATCCTATCTTCGTCAATTGAAACAGGCCCGAAACTCACCCCGCTTGACAGAAACCAAAAGGGCGGAATCATGCCAAAAATGATATCATTACGAAGGAATGCGGAATGTGATATAGATCTTACCGATTCAAACGGCGTTTTCGGCACCTCGAAGCTGTCTGAGAGCGATGATTATCACCTTTCCCGGCGTTGGCGTCTCCATTAACCTGAAACGAGAAATGTAAGATAAATAAATAGATACCATACAAAAATCGCATATGCGGACTGCGCACGTTCAGTGTCAGATAGAAGAAACGTACAGTAGGGAGAAGATTAGGCAAAAAAACACCAAATTGCATAACAGATTGTAATACATTACATGAAAATATGAAAAATAAATAAATGGTAGTGGAAGAGTGACTATTGATCGACGGAGGACGAGGCGAAAACAGACGCCAAATTTTTTGCGACGGCACACCAGGCAACGCTTGGAAACAGCGGGAAATTGTGAGAGTTTTACGGCGGGAATTTGAAAGGGGAATATGAATTCTGGTTTTTTGGAATTTTTCACGCAATTAAGCAATTCTTTTTGCTTTTTCTGCTATTCGTGTGCAGAACAGAGCCCAATGTACTGATTTTTGGAACAAATGGAATCACGCGATTTCCGTGGACGATTCCTTTAAACTTAACTCGAGGAAAGTGTTCGAAGGTTTCACGAACTTTTAGGACAATCTAACACACATATATAAGGATTGTATGAGCCCCCGCGACGTTTCCACCAGTTGTTGTTTTCTCCCTAAATCGTTCACTAACTAACCACCATTCCTAGAGCATGGCAGCCGGACTCGGGGGCCCCATCTCACTGCAATGTTACAAACTATACGGTATAGTGCCTTTTGTGATCCTGCGAATATCAGCATTCAATGACATTTTGACCTTAGTAAGCAGGTGGACGGGCCACCAAACTAGAGGTCGCACATCATCTCAAACAACCTAACCAGAGTATGTTCCCATGCAGCTAACGTCCATTGTCACGCGTTGTAATCAGAATTCATCATAGTTGTGAAAGGCTAAGTGGTACCATCTAAAGCAGTATTTTTCTTCTTTCTCACATATCTTGGCAAATCTGAGCTCTTGTAGCCCTTATCCGAAAAGCGGATTAGGCGTGGGATTTGAACATGGCACAGTATGGGCTACTCGCGGGATGTTTCAGTTTGTGACGACTGTCATCTTGTGCTACTAGGTCTTGGACATGACATAGTTGCGAATGTCTCAAAGTGAAAACACCTCTCGAAAAGTTTGGCAGTCACTGCGTTTAGTTCAAGTACGCAGCCACGCCTACCGCATTTCAAGGATTCTGAGCATATTATGCAACAAATGAAACAGACCAATGAAGAGACAGGCGTGGCGTGCGTTACGTTCACGTCGTTGCACAATCAGCTGGTGGGAGTGGCCGCGACATCGCACCCATAAACGTATTGTTGCTGAAGGCATTCGTTCGCACTGTGTTTCGATTCCTACAAACTGCTGAACGAAGTGTCAATCGAAATGCGGGCTATCGCGGTCTAAGCGTGACTGACTGCACCTAGCGGGGAGAGGCAGGCAGTTCGCAAAAGTTGACGTGCCGCGAGCCCGTTCTGCACCAGTTAGTGAAGCAGCAGCTGATGAAAAACGTCTGGTATGACTGATATTACACAGTTCTGACGCTTGTCGAGATAGAGAGAAAAAAGAAGATGTGATGAGCGTTCCCGGAAACACTTCAGTATGTCATGCTTGCACAAAGCTAAAGTAGCATAGATAAGTCTGCCATCAGATATACTCTGCATAACACGGTGACAGCGCTCGTAATTGCAAACTCAGGGTCGCTCGTGACAGCGATACCAAGAATTTCTGATCTTTCACAGAATTATTCGACTTCGTCAGGCTTTATTTTTATTGATTGAGCCTCATTAGGTTCTGAGTGTGAATAATGAAATCATTTCTTCTACAGAAACTACAATTTCTGAAGGCCTTTGCCACGCGGTCCTTTAAGTAAGCAATGACGACCAATCTACTTTATAATACAGAGTGTAAGGCTGCGTTCGTACACGTCCACCAGCGTCTCGAGGGCTAGGAGGAAGCACAGGCTACAAGTGTGTGTAATTGTACGGTGTGATTGCATGTCGCAATTTCACGAGGTTTAATCCAGCTGCATGCTCGCTTGTACTTCCCTACACATACTTTCGACTCGCGGTCGTGGTGAAACGCTGGCAAAACAGTGGCAGACCGCAGATCGATACCTGGACTGTTCCTAGCCTTCGAGATGCTGGCGGACGCTGGTAGACGCTCAGACGCGAGATCGATATCTATACTTTCCTATTCGCTGACGCGGACGCTAGTAGACGCTGGTAGACGCCGCCGGAATGCACAAGCATCCTTAGACGTAACGTCGCCATCGGCGCCTCTGCGAACACTGAACGAGACGCTGAACGAGACCCTGCTGGACCTGATTGCTATTTTTAAAAGAATTGAGCTAATTAAGGTCCCATGGGAACATCTTGACCTAGTTAGACCTCAGAACTAAACCATAAAAGTAGGATGATCGAAAAGCTGCAGACAGAAAATGTGACAAAAAGGCACAGCCGACAGAAAGAAAGAAAGGCTCAGTGCGGAGAACGTTCAATCAAAGAAGGTCACAAAAATAAGGGAATGCGAGGGTCGTTCGGGAGGAAATTCCAGATCGCAATCAGCTGCAATCAACACCAGCAGTCGTGGAGTATGGATAAGGTCAAATGTTGGTCTATCCTTCTAATCAAGCGTTTTCCTTTTCAGTAACAAGCAGCAGTATGTAGACCCTCCGAATCTACTTCATGACTGTCTTCAAGACTGATAGGGTTTGGCCTTGCTTGCAATGCCGCCTACTGGTTCTCCGGCATGCCTTCCCCCTCTTTTTGATAGCAACTTCTGTCATCCATTCTCTCAACAGTCTTAGATCCTGCCATTTGTTTTCATGGCCACTCTTGTTAGGGATGCTCATGCTTTAGAACACTTTTTCAAAAACAGCAATTAGATTCACCCTACAGCGTCACGTTCTACGTCAGCAAGCGCAGAGATCGCGACGTCGCGCATAAAATGGCGGACTTATCTACGCCACTTTTGCGTAGTTGTTTTCTGTCAAGATGACTGCCTATCAACTCTGGATCAAATGCGTGCCATGATATTGACTATAAAAGAGACTTCTCATTGATCTTCATTCAAGTGGCAAGAGTGACAGGAAAATCTCCAAATAATAATGCTGATTTATGGGCAACAGTCACATCCCAGACTAGATTCCGAACCTGACGCTTACTGGTGAGTGTGCGCTATCTACTACGCCACCTCCGTGGTTCTTATGCTCGATGCTCGATTGCTTTTGTGTCATAACCTTAGCACTTCATTGAGTTTCAAAACGTGATTAACCTATCATACAGAGGCAAGTGAATGTGCAAGCGGTCGAACGCTTCACACATTTTAGAGATGTTTTCATTACGGTTTCATTGTGAGCATGATTATTATGATGACCAGATCTGGAATCAAATTATCCATGGAGCCTCATGAATGAGTTTGTCTTGTAGGGAGATTAGGGATAGTTCAGAGAGTTTTTATTGAGGAAATTGAGGAATAGCTCAAATAAATTAACTGGTGAGCGTTCACACAGCTTCTTCAAAACCTAAAATTACGACATCAAACATAATCATATACAACCCTCAACCGTAGTAAAGCCACAAAAATAACGGGATTCGCGTGTCATCAACAAAGTGTTGAGTACTGCAACACAGTATGTGTAACACATTCTGTATCGTGATGCCGTTTTGGCTTGATTGCTCTGTTTTACGCCGCAGTGCGCCTCCTGAATGATATCACGAAAGTTTAAGTAGGGCAAAAGGTTAGCGTGTCAGGCCCAGATGTGCATTCAATGAATGGTGACGGGGAAATCATGAAAACATGCACGACACAACAAAGCGAAACATGGAAAAATACAAAAAATGCAGAGCTAAATGAAAAATGGATAACCAGGCCGGCAGTAATATCGTTCCATACTTGGCTATTATCGATCGCAACCGGCTGCGACCGCTTTCATAGGAAAAACGTCATTGGAGCGCGGTTGTTGGGCCAACATCCCTCGGTCTTTCGGGTGTCATATCTCCCCTGATGGAGGGGCGCAGCTTTTGATGAATGGGTTAAGCAGCATGTAACTGGGAATGTTCCTGACTGTTGGCGTGTTTCTACCCAGTTGCGAATTTGTATTGTTTCCCCGCTTCCTGGCAACCCCTGGATGTTTCCCGTTCGTGAAATATTTTGGATGGGTTTCGGATCGGCTAGGGGTAAAGGCATGCTTCACACGAGGATTACTTATTTCGAAGGCAATTCCATCAGGATCAAAATCGTCTTGAAACCGCTCTATCTTTCCTCGAGCTTAAAGGCAAAGCCCGCGATCAGTTGCCATCTTAGATAGTGAATTTGGGCTTCGCATAAAGAGGACAAGGTTCAGAGTAACTCAGTAGTGAACTTGCTGCCAGAAATAGGGGTGGCGCCACGTTTGAAAGATTGACCTTTAATATTTTTATTTTTTCAATGAGCTCATCGT